ATATGCATTTCCACATATACCAGGTAATAAAAGAAAAACAATGCAGACAGATAAAATATATATGATTATCGCTTGAAAATTAAGTCGACTGCGAGCAATACAAGATCTATCAAGTTTCACATGTATGAATAATATGAACCGTGACATCTCGACCTAAGAAAAAATTTTTAGTTTTTGAATTTTTAGTTTTTTTTAAACATTTTCAAACAACAGAATTTAACACATAATATTCTGTAAACAAGCAGATGCGTTTAATTCCTAGAAAAGAAAAAAAACTAATTATTATGATTATCTAAAATAAATCTGTTTGAGTTTTATAGTTAGATACCAAATCTATGCAAGCTGCTATCATTTGAATGATGTTTTTCATATTGAGAGTACGCAATTGAATCTACTATTGCATATTTTCGTCGTATTTAATCACAAGAAATTTTGAAGATTGATTGGTTTTAACAGAAACTAAGAATGCAAAACTCATACTTCTTTTAAAGTATTCTTCAGAACAGCTGGCATGTCTATTTAAATACACGTAGTTATATCCATTCAGTATACTAAGTTTTATAAATGAATCCAGTTGAACACTTTTTTTTTACATACGATATTGCATCTATCTTTATTTCTAAATGTTTCGATCCACAAGTTCACTTTTCTTTAATGAATACAAACGATTGATTAATTTAAATCAAAAGTCGCTTTGCTGTTATGACTAGAGAAATTAAATTTTACGAAATAAACTGTTTATATCCTTGTTGTTCTTTTTATTCCATCCTAGATTGTACTTTGTGAAGTGTACAAATTACACATAAATTTATATAGATAAGTTGTACGTACGAAAGAAAAATTTTAGTCGAATAGTGATCTTTTAATCAATTGTTGAGCTCCACTAATCACGAATGAAACTATCAACTATAACATTGGGAAAAAATAAGTATAATATCTTACAGAATAAAAAATGTTCAAATCGATTCATTTGAACTTCATCTAATTTCGTATTTATATCGATAAGAAAGAAAATAAGTACGACGAATGTCTAAAAGTCTTGCAAACCAAATATTCTCGAGACTTTTGACAAATTTTGAATAGATATGAAGTTTATTTCTCTTAGATTCATTTGATGAGATTAAAAATCTATGGGCACTTAAATAATGTCTTTTACATACCTGCTATAAGTAGCAACGGTTTGTACAAGCTTTAGTGATAGTAATCCCCATTCAAGCGAGAACTTCTTAAAGACAGATACTGAGAAAAAATCTATATGCTTCTGGACATAGAGTAGTTAATACCTTGAACTGCTCTCGAAAGAGAATTTTGAATGAATTATAGCAATAATATTCTTTTAATTATATTAAAGTCTTGTTAGATCTAGATTTCAGTCAGGTCTATTCTCAATTTAGTTCGTTTCATTCCGTTTGGAGAACTAAAAAACTTTTTGTTTTTCTTTGTTTATTTAGGCATGGATTGTTCGGGTATAGTTGTTAATGTCGGTTCGTCTGTAGGACGCTTAAAAGTCGGTGATGCTGTCTATGGTAACATGGGCTATGGAAATGCCTTTGCTGAATACGTCCGTGCTGATGAATCATTATTCGCATTGAAACCAGTAAATCTATCGTTTGCAGAAGCAGCAGCTGTTCCATTAGCTGGTGAAACAGCTTATGAAGCACTTTTTCAACAAAGAGAAATTACACGAGATTCAAAAGTGTTTATTTGTGGTGGTCCAACAGGAGTGGGATTATTTGGGATACAATTGGCAAAAGCAGTGGGAGCACATGTTGCATGTACTAGTTCATTGAGAAACATGGATACAATTAAGAAGTTAGGTATGAAAGAGAGACTTATAAGTAGTCTAAAATGATAACTGCACTGGAGCATGCATACAGTAATCATCTAACGATAGTTTTCTTGTCTCTGCTAATCTTTTTTACAACGTGATTAACGTAGCCGCATAGAGCTGGAAGGCATTTCACTTACGGATCTATTTCAAAACAATTATTAGACCGTTTTCAATCATTCCAGGTCTTTTTTTTTGCTATAATTAGACGGCCGCGTTTCAGTATTGAACCAACTTGAGAAGTGTAAACTAGTACAATGAGCACAGTGAAGCATGATTGGTTCTCATCTTATATACAATCTCAGACGGTCACTCTAATTATGATTTAATCATTTGTTGCTCGTTGAAGCAAAACATTTCAAGGGCAAGAAGAAAAAATTGATTCCTAAAGAACTTCACTTGACCACTTTCTCGAAAAGCATATATTCAACGAGATTGTTGTGAATATTATGATAGATCAGAACAGTTCGTCGTGTGGACATAATCTGAGTGTAAAATCTCTAATTGATAAATCATATATCGTGTATGTAATGGTTATTTGTTGAAGTATGTAAGTAATTACGACCTCTTTGCGTTTTATGAAAATTTTAATCTATTAAATACGGAATTAGTTTCTTTTTTGAAGAAAAAATGGAAATTTTCAAAATTCCAAATTAATATTTATTTTTCAGAGTACATCAATAATGATCATTAAAAGTAGCTGATATTTCTACATCACATGTATAGATAATCTTACATTAGTCGCAAGAAGTTTCGCTACAAGATACAAAATACATAAACTTCAATCCTTTTGCCTAATATTTTGACTAAAAAAAGAACTCGGTAAATTCTGATCGCAAGAAGCAATCCGAGGTTGATAAGTCTTAATGCAAAGAATTTACGATGAAAACACCGGTTTTTTTCCTAGCGCCCTTCTAGTATTTCATTATTTAAACGCACTAATATCCATTTTCTTATGAACAAATAATGGTTTACATATCTATATCGTGTCACAGATGGGGAACTTCCATCCACTGTTATCTTGAAGTTCAGAAAACTGATGTGAAGATTATCCAAATAGTACTCCATAAATCAAGCAAACTAAAACCAGTTGACATAGAATTTTTATTGGTGATAGAGGTTACACCGACCTGTCGAATGAGAAGGCTAACGTCATAAGATTTGTTTTCTATATGGAGATATCTTCATCGGAAGAAAAGAAAATCTATGTTGACCTTCTAGCTCCTCCTTATGAAGATCGATCAAGTTCTGATTAATCCCTGTGATCATAGTTCAGTATGCTATATTCGTGATCAAACTATGAGACTAAAGAAATTAAAGTTTTGGTACTTTTTACCTAGTCGTGGGACTTTTTGTGACAAATTTGACGAAATATATTGTCGCTGGAGTTTTTATTGTTTATTAACCGACATTCTTTATATTGCATATAGAGTACTATATATATTAGAAGTTTCAAAAAATATTGTAATTTATGACTAAGTATGATTACAACACATTAAGCAATGAAAAACGGTCATTTATCATTCATGTTCGAATACTTTGTTTATAAAGACTGTAAAACGACTCTTAATAGAACATCAAGGTTTTTTTTTCTCTCTTTTTATTTCAGGTTACAATGTAACCGAAAATATAAGCGAAGTAATGAAGCCTAATAATGATGATCTCTTAGTAATCGATTATACAAAATACAACTTTGGGGAAATACTTCATCATCAAAATTATGATGTTGTCTTTGATTGTGTTGGAGGACAAGAACAGTGGGAATCAGCACAACAAATATTAAAACCAGGTGGTCGTTTCATTACAATTGTTGGTGATGATCCACATTCGAATTTAACAGTGAAAAACATTGTTACGATGGGTGCTGGTGTTATTAATCGTAAATTTTGGTCTTTGGTCGGACAAGAACCATCCTATATATTTCATATATTGAAACATGATTATCGTCATTTAGATGACATGAGAGTGAATTATATTGAAACAGGAAAAATGAAACCTATAATTGATCATGTCTACGACTTTTATAATGTAAAAGAATTGCATGAAATGTACGATCGATCAAAATCAGGAAAAGCACAAGGAAAAATGGTCGCACAAATTATTAAAGATTAGATTTATGAAACAGTTTATCTGTTATATTCACAATTTTGAACAGATGTTTCTCATTTTTTTTATAACTTTATGATGGCAATTTTATTCGTCTTATTTCTTCTAATATGTTTGCCGACATTTTTTTATATAATCATGCAATCCTCTAAACGAGCAATAAATATAGTAATTTATATGTAAGAAAATGAAGGAGCATGAATAAGGGTGTAGGTGTGAATGTTAGGGAGTGTGATGGTTGTGTAATGTGATTTGTGGGGGTGAGGATGTGAGTTAAGAGAAGATATGAAATAAAGTCTAATTTATTCTGTGCCATTCGGTTCATAACCATCATTCAGTAATCGTATACATTGCACGTAGTCACCTTGAGCATAATGATTATTATTTCGATCACGATGCGCATAACGTGGTATACATCATTTGTGGTGTCACAATAAAATATATTATATTCAAGTAAATACAATTACACAATCATCATGTTATGTTTAAATAAGAATTTTGAAACTATTTCACAGATAACGCAACAACTTGCAGCTTTCATTTGGATCAACGCGATACTGAATCGTTTTTTGAAATTTTTTATTCAATAAAACGATTTAAATAAATTATCTCTGAACATGAAACATGATGAATTCCTTCAGCAAGGACGAAATTGTGGTAATATAAAGAAAAAAAGAGTGTATTACACAGAGATTAAATAAATCATATGAAACAATCAAAAAGAGTTCGTTTTATCTTTATCGATGTCGCCACATTTTTTTGAAAATCGGTGAGAGCTGAGTCAGTCATTTTTCATTTTATATTACACTGGATTCTACTATGTTTTTGAAAATAATTCTGGAGGGTTCGTGTTGAGTACACGTTCATAAAAGTTAGTACTACTTAGATCTGGATCGAGTCGCAATGGAACCGTTATAATTCAGCTCAGTTTATTTTCAGTTTCTGGTAATCAAATAATTAATCATCAAGAATTCCCTTGATTAGAGTAATGCTGTAAAGATTTTTATGGTAAAATTAATTATTCGATTTCTTTTTCTAAAAATTAATAAAACAGATTATTGAAGTTAAAATTTTCATAGTAAATAAAGTATTTCTTTCTGTAATATTACCATTTGTCAATTTAGTGCATATTTGATTAAATGTCGACATAAAAAAATCCT